AGCGTCGCCGAATATTGAAGGATTTGCCATTAAGACGTGTTTAGATGATACTTACTGTTCTTTGTGAAGGTGACGATTTTCAGTACCTTGCCATACCGTGTGAAAATCTACAACAGAAACAGAACGCAAACAATTAACATCGAAATTCATTTTTATGAGACAAGTTTGAGTCCGGAAATAAGCATACAATGTTCGAGTTTAGCGAGGGAACACAATAATGTAATTGAACGTCCAACTAATACGTATCCGCTAATTGCTCTCGGTTGATTGCATTTCTCAACGTGCAAATTTGCAGCCAAAGACTGTTTCTCGCGGATAGCTATCTGCGCTCTCTCGCGTGTGTGTATTTGTACGAGGCAAGCCGATGATCGTGTCGTTGTGGGCGATGGTAAATATTTGCGTCACTCGTTGCGCTTCCCCGCAGTGCTGCGCTCGAACGACCAGACTACGTATAACCAGTGCCGTCTCGCGACTTCGCCGACACGTATCAGATCAATTCCTGCATTTATTTTCCTCCCCGATTTTTTCTTCCATCTGTTTACAATCGACTCGTATATTTGTGCAGTTACAATATTGACGATTTTAATGATCGCACGGTAATTTATAGAATATGTCGAGTGAAATGTTCTTGTAAATTACATATGTATTGAAGCGATATTTCTTTTTACAGCACGTAATTATCAATAAACAAGCCACGTCTATTTATGCGGCAGATATTTCAGCCGCGTTTAATTAGTCTAATTCTGAAAATAGGCGAGGAGATATAACTGCGCGACCGCATTCCAATGAGGCTTTATTTGCACGTTCATACGTTGGCACACCATCGGTACAGTTTGCGTTGCAGACGGGGGCAACAACGGATTATTGCATGTTCATACTAGCCAGAAATCCTTGTTAAAATGATCAGGAGGTTAATTTTAATACGGCAACGACTCAATGAAAGCGCTGCAAACACTCGCAATAAGCAAGATTATTCGATCGTTTGCGCACAGCGCGCCATTCGATGAAAGTGCACAAAGCTCCTAAGTGTCGACACTCGACACTGGTCTTCGGGCTTTCCTCCCTCCTTCCGTCCCCTCTCTCCCTCCCGCATATCTCTCTCTCTCTCTCTCTCTCTCTCTCCTCTCTCTCTCTCTCTCTCTCTCTCTCTCTCTCTCTCTCTCTCTCTCCCTCTCTGGCGCTTTTCTTAAAACGCGCTCTCTCGCGTATGTTGTCCCAAGGGAAATCAAGTCTCAGCACTGACGTGTATGTGTCCGTCTGTATGTGTGTGCAAACGAGAACTGTCGCTAATATTTTATTTGCTCGACGGGGCTTTATTTTGTCGCGCGCGGCAGAGAGAAAGTCCAGCCTGCCGATGGGATTTCATCGGGCGTGAGCTTCGACTTGTCTTCTCGCTTGGGGCACAAAAGGAGCAGTGATTACAGACTTTATTTATTATTCTAAATAAACAACATCTTGCCGAGGACCATCAATGAGATTCGTCGCCAGTGAGTTTGTCCGTGAACGAGTACAACGTGTCCACATTGACAAACGCGCGGACCTGGACGTAGTATAGGAAGTGCGAAGCGCGCGCGACTAACCGCTCGTACGTGCTCTCAGCACTCGACGACACGTTCGATGCTAATTCGCGCGGCCAAACTGCAGGCGACGCGCCGACAATGCAAATTAATCCGTATTACAATTTGACGCTGCATATCCGCGCGCGCGTCAAACGGAGAGAAGCGAGGGACGCGTGCCGCCGTCGTCGTGGTGTCGAGAGAATGACCTCTCGTCAATTACCAAGCGGGCTACGTCCTTTCGCCGGCAGCAGACTTGTCCGCACGCTTATGTACTATACAGTTGTCTGCGAGTTGTCAAGATCGTCCTGTGAGTCCCATTTTCGAATAATTTATTGAATTTTACGATGATACTACATTTTCAAAAAGCTCTAATTCGTAACAATGTTCCTTTGGTCAATCTAAATTGTTATCGATTTTATATTTAAACATCCGCACGTGGCTTTTCACTCTACGCTGTTTTCCATTCAAACGGATACAAATGAGTAACTCAACATTTTTATTGAAGTTACGATAAATAATGAGGTATTATCGGTTAAAATATGGACACTGCACATTCGAAAAGAATTTTGTTACAAAATATTTTTAGATCACTTATGTCTTTGTTCATAAACACCACAGATGTTTCGATGTGTCGCATGCAAACATCAATATAAGTATTTAGAATCCTCGAGTAAAATAATTTTTCGCGGATACATAATGAATACTTGTCAATTATTTTTATCGAACATAAAAATTTAGAAGCTTTTTGGAAAAATATATTTACGTATTTAGTATTTTTACAGAAATAACGCAATTTTAGATTTCCACATAGGTGCAAGGCAGATTTTCCAAAAAAAAGAGGAATAAAAAGAAGAGCAAAAAAATTGAAAACGCTTCAACAACATCTCTATTTGTCAATCAAAGCGCGATACACGCGCGATGAACTGTTCCGTACGTGACAATATTTTTCTTTTCGCGCGCAATACATAGCTAGTCACAAAGAGTTGCATAGGTAGAGAGAGAGAGAGAGAGAGAGTAAAAAAAGAGAAAATAATGTGTGACGTGCACTCGGCAATCATGGCTGCGCACGTCATAGTTATTGGCCCACGGGGAGAGAGCCAGCGAATGTGCCGCGGGGACAGCAAGCAGCCTAAAACGGCTTCCGAATAGACTGGAATTATCGATTGCTCTATACGCGACGAGCACGCATAACAGTTATTAATTCGCGAGTTTCATTATCGGAGCCCATATCCACCCCTCGGCCCACCCCCCTCCGGCCACATTTAACATACACGTTATAGGCTCGATAATGGTAATAACGATGATTCTACCTCCTCGCGTACATCGCAATTCCGTCATTTTCATACCCGCTACAAAACGTTCAAACGTAAAAAAACCATCCACTTTTTTACCCGTAGCAGAATTCTTGGATTTTGTTGTTGTATTACTTTCCAAAGTGGAAATTCTATTTTTTTGTCGTCCTAAATAAAGTTCCAATTTCTCAGCGACGTGCATGGTTCTATTTTTTTTTTAAATTAGTCACGTGACAAGTAATGGATTATAGAAGCTTTTGAAATCTACGTCTAAGGATTTTCAAAAACAGTTGCGCTCCCTGTCGATATAGCCAATGAATCTGTTTTTATAGACCAAATGCAAAGAAGAGCATGCAAGCGATACCCGGAAAAAATGAATCTTCAGTAAGAAAATATAAAGCTCGCGAGGGAATTGAGGTTTTAATAAACAATATTGATACAAAGGGTGTCACGGCTGTTATTTTTTCAAGCAGCGCGGCGAAATTAATCAAAAACTGGGGTCGGTTGAAAACTTAAATTGCGTTAGGCGCTCGCGCGCGCGAGTACATATAGACTCGCGTTATTACGAGGGCAAGACATTTCGCAGTATAGCGGCGCTCGGAGTACGGGAAGTGTGGGGTGGGGAGCGTATCCTTTAATGAGGCAAGATTTAGAGTGCGTCCCAGGTGGCCTGAGAGGAGACCGAGGCCGTCGCTTTACACACGAACGGCTGCAGCTGGGCGCGCACGACCCTTTACCTTCTTAATGTGCCTCGTAATACGCCCGAGCAAGCGAGCGAGAGACGACGACAATATACATACATGCACGTTAGCTTTCTCTCGATCTCGATCTTATGGACGGCCTAACTGCCAAACTGACGACGATAACGTAAAATACAAACTACTCGCTCTGCGCTTGTATATAGTTGTTCGTGTACCTCACTTGGTTAAAAGCTTTTATATCGCTTTGCCGAGAGAGATTATGAACAAATATTGAGTTGGAGAAATTGAGGAAGTGGATGTATAATTTGGATTCCGAATGATTAACTGCAAAGGGGAGACTATATAGAGGCTGACTATACGTCGAGCTGTACTACTTGTAGCGTTTTCCACCGCTAGTCAAAAGCACGATGATACGTACATCAGTTTCTAGGATTCCAAATACGTTGAAATACGATAGATGGCTTATTTTCGCGCGATGTTTTTCTCTCGAACATTTTTTTATCAATACGCGCTCTCAGCCAATCTGGCCACGGGTATATTAACATTACCAAGAGGGAAAACTTCCTCTAATATTTTATGCACGATTAGCTATACTCGGCTCTTGAAATATTTAACGGGCAAACCATCGGCATGCCCCTCGAATTAATAAAAGACAAGCAAGAAAGACACAGCAAACAAGCAGCGCACGCTTTGAGAGGTGCAAGCTTATCTGGACGTTTATTCATGAGAACGACTCGAGAGTGTCTGGTACAGAGTAGGCAAGCGGCGCAATTTCATCTCGGCAAACCAAAGGCCCCCGAAAACTTTTAAGATTACGTTAGTATTCAATATAAAACTCGCTCGCCAAGTATATATACGGCCTTGCTTGCGCGACATTATAAACCTCTCAATCTCGATATTAGACTCGCGCGGAGCTTGCGGGATCCGATTAACATTTTATACTGTGTCCCCTCCGAGTTAAATTATTGCAAATTATTTCGAAATTGAATTTTAACGAGTCCGCCACTTCTCTTATTTTTTCCTTTTTCGGGACACAGCCGCTGGCGGAGGCCGAAAAGCTACGAAAACTTTCTCTCTTCAAGGCTTTTGTTTAACCGATCGCGTGTCTTCGGCGCAACTTCGTAATAACGTTGCCGGCAAGTTTTGCGCGAGCGGAGCTTTTAATGAACGAGCGCGAACACAGCTCTTCTCTATCTTGAACGAGTTCGTCTGCCCCGCCTCGAGATACACAAAGAATGAAGCGATCTTTTCCGATCATCGAGCTCTGAATGGGGGTTAATTAAAATTTCAATATTTCATTGTTGAGCAATCCCGTGTTGAGCTCGAGGCGTTCGATGCAAACTTTTTATCTCGTTATAAACACGAAATTCATTTGGAGGATTTCTTAATGAGCATTATTAGAAAAACGGAAAATGTTATTTTTTATCGAAAATGTACGCATAAAGCCGGACTTGCAACGTTGTGAGTTTTCCGAGAAAATGAAAGAACACAAATAAAATTCTCTCTGGAATATAACGGGGAGGACGCGAATCCCTTTTTTTCCAGTTCAAAAGCCATAATCTGCAAATGCGTCTCTGCACCATTTTCATTTTTCCCTGTGTCCCTCGAGCGCGTGCAAGAAAGAAAGAGAGAGACACCACTTTTCATATTTACGACGTCCTAATCCTCGAGTTGTCCGTCGTCGCGAGAGAGCGACGCTAATCCTCCTAACTGATTACCGCGGTTGCGCGACCTTTTAAGTCTACTTACGCGAGCGCTCGCGTGATCATACCTTCCTCTGTTACTATTAAACCAGTCAACAAAAAGCAATGGACTTTCAACCAGGCAACCACTAATGGCTTATTTCAGCGCTGAGTTTATTCTTTTTTTGCAAAGTTGTCTTGTTGCTGAAAGACACAACGAGCGAACGTAGTTTTATTCATTCAATAATATTCAATTTAGGGATTATGTTTTCCTGTATAGGGATTTGCTTCACTATCCATTTCAGCTAAAATTAATTTGGTTTTGCACGTCGGTCTCTTGGAAAAGAATAAATAAAGAGGTCAGACGCGAACGTCTGGAAATAGGTTATACTTTTTTATGTAAATATGTCTTTTGTGCTTTTCCTAGAAACTAAATTATATAATGGTAGCGTCGCTGCAATATATATCTCTTTTATAAATCACGTTTATATTATTTTGATATTACACGAAAAATCAGAACTCGAGTAAAAATAAGAATTTCCCTAGCACTAAAAAATCAAACGGGCAATAGTCTTGTCTCTTTGTTTCGAAAAAGGATCCCATGCTGCCCAGCGGGTTTTTTTCACCTAATGTGTAAGACAGTAAGTACGTATATAGAGAAAGTCGGGCGTTTATTAAAAATGTATGACATACTCGCGGGCCGAAAACACCCAGGCGTTATTCGTTTTCATTGTCTTTTCTCTCTCTCTCTCTCTCTCTCTCTCTCTCTCTCTCTCTCTCTCTCTCTCTCTTCGCGCTCTGGCATTTGCGCGCACGATACACGAGTACTTTCGTACGATTTATTCATACAGCGCGGTTTTCTCTCTATTTTCACTCTATAGCTTCATTCTCTCTCTTTCTCTCTCTCAACTATTTATCTGCTCATTTATTTTCCCGGCGGCCTGCTATATATTCATGGTGGTCTGAAAGTTGCAGCGACCCACTCCTCGTCGTTGGAACCTCATTGTGGAGATGACTACTCACAGAGGTCCAAAGCTATTGTCGACGTGTTTATTTGTGATTTGCTAGGAATTTCGCTTTCACGACCGAATTTCATTTATATTAATTCATAGTTGACGTTCTTTGTGTGCGAAAATGAATTGCAGTAGAGAGAGCGTACGTACCTGGTAAAGAATATCAAGGGAAATTGGGTAGACCATGTGTTCGACGATCACTCGAAGAACTGTATTAGGTCCTCCTTGTGTATCGCTTCCTTGCACCTGACCTTGACCTGACGTCTGCACATTCGTATTCTGTAACAAGCAAATGAAACATAAAATCAGTGTATTGTTTTGCATCTGATCGTCTATGATGGCAATGAACATAAGTTCGTACATCGAAAAGTCGGAAAACGCGTTGCAGAATAATACACTAGACGAATAATCGAAAGAAAAGCTTTTAGCCGAAGTAACCTTCTCTCTCCGGTCGCACTCGCAGCTGCACGCATTCATGACGACGGAAGGAGGGAGAGCCAAGCACTCGCAAAATTCGACCGGGCGACTATTGAAAAGGCGTCGAAAGTCGTCGTAATATGAGAATCGGTGAAAATGGATGTCGTTTCTCCTCTTTCCCTTCAGCCGTGCGAGACGACGAATCTTCGCGGAATAAAGTCATCTCTCGCGAGCGAGTGAGCGTCGAAAAGCCAAGAGACATTTATTACACGGTCTCTTCCACGAGCTTGAAGCCCATAAAAAGCTCTTCGAACGATGAAAGCGTCTCCTCCACTCTTATGGATGGCGACATTTATACTTGAGCTCGTTCTGACGTTCAGCTATATCAGCTTGTAATTGGGTAATTCACCGGATACGCGTGTGTCTGTGCCGATCGCTTCCATTCGATTCCATTGCTGATAAATGCGATCGTTATGGACTAACATTTTTTCCAATCATGTCTCTAACGATACCGAATTATCGTCTCGAGTTTTATTCCCCCCGCCTGAGAAAAACTCGAGTGGATCAAAACAAAAGTACCTTGAATAAAAAACAAAAGAAAGCCAGGATGAGCTTCCTTGATAGTCACAGTAAATTTTTGTGCGTTCGAAAGTTTACGATGTGCTGCGCGCAAGCTTGCGTGCGTCACGACGTGAAGTGTAGTTATAGGCCATCACGATTTGAATGTATCTCTGCGGTTGTCCTTTATTGGTGCGACTCTTTATCTCGGTCCGCGTGGATTGCGTGCTGAGGCGAACGAGGTCGCAGCAGCGGCGAAACTTTGATTAAAGTAAAAAACTTGCTGCCACCACTAATTAGGACTCTCTCTCTCTCTCTCTCTCTCTCTCTCTCTCTCTCTCTCTCTCTCTCTCTCTTTCTCTCTGTGTTGCGTTGACGTTTCTTATCTTTTCTTTTTTTTTCGTTATTAGTCACGCCAACTTATTGCGTTTCTTTGTTTACAACTCTAACTAAGCTTTGTCGCCGCGTGGCACATATACACAGCTTTCGTTGTGTATCTAATTGCCATGTACAAAGTTTACTCATTTAGCGTAATTTGAAGAAAAGAAAAACACACACACACACACACATTAGATATCTCTTTGAGAAATGATATTAGAAATGAATACAGGAAGAGCTTCCTTAATTTTGCAAAAAATCGCTTGCACCAGGTGGAAGTAATAGGATATAAAGCAGTCACGAGAATATGCATGAGAAAGAAGTAAAAAGCCGTTAATTAACTCAACAAAAATGAAGCGTCGTCGACATCGGATAACTTGCGCGAGATGGCCAAACATGCTAGCAATGGAGTAAAACGAAGCAAGTTCTATGAAAATTTCCTGTACTTCACAACTCCTCGCGGGACTCTTAATTACGTTGTTGCCACTCGTTGAGAGAGAGGCAAATTTTGCAGCTAGACAATTCTAGCTTAATAATTAGAGAGGTTTGTCTGTCTAATTGTATGTTACGACATCACGGACAGGGTAACGAACGTGCATGTAGTGTTTTAATTTTAAAATTAACGGCCTGATGCGACAAAATGTACAAAGTGGGTTTTCTTTTGCTTCTGAAACTTCTGTTTACTCTGGAAAAGAGATATTTGCACAGCGATCATTTGCTAGAAATTTTGTTTGCATTACGTAAGTCAAAAGAATAGCACAGTTATTGGAACAACAATTGAAGAGTAAAAACATGCACAGAGAGATATTCTTTTGAAATGTAAAACTAGCAGCCATTGTTTATTTTTCTTATTTTTTAAGCCATTTACGATGGTGTATCTACAAAAGAGGCCAATTGTCAACGACAAAGTGAAAACGAGCAAGATAACTAGATGAAAACGTATTTAGATTACCGCGCGCCAGACTCGGGCGGTCGGTCAGCTTAAAAAACGCAAAAGGTTGTAGCGCGAATAGCGGAACAGCTTTGTGGTAAACAATGCTCGCGTGCGCTCGCCTTTAAACAGACGTAAATAGAGAGGTCGTTTGCGTTCGAACTTGGTTACAAATGCAACAGATTATAGCCAAAATTTCAGATTACGCAAAAATGACAAGACTTGCAAATCTAATTTCATACGATCCAGACTGGAGGGCTTAATTTTCCGATCATCATTAATAAACCAAAGCGTCACCAAGTCGAAAATGTCATTGTACACAGTTGACGTGTCTATATTGGCTTTATTGGGCGATTATGAATGTTGAATTGAATTCGTTTGTCAGCCTTATTCGAGGATATCTCGAGAGACAAAAAAAAGTCGTCGTCTGGTCGGTACTCGTAAAAGTTGGCCGTTGAATTAGCAATGCTGGTGGCGAAACAACGACGTCGATTAATATTGAAATTCAATTACGAAGCCACTTCTTGCGCCCTATAGCGTCGCGATGATTGTTATTCAAGCCAACGACATAACTAAAGCCTCGATATTCGCGCGCTGCCTTTTTGTAGCTTTGGCCGACTGATTAACCTTTGTTTACTGCGCCGAGATTCATCCTCGCGCCGCGGATTCATTACGCGGATAATGCAACTTGATTACATTCGACTATTGCATGAATAAATAAGCTCGTTTCATTCTTCGCTGCCGCCCCGCTTAATCAGCATACTTTCGCCAGCGATTTTTCAATGTAGTTTTTTTTTCTCCCTCGACGAGCTACTTTCACAGGCATTCGCTAAAGAGCGTTTCGCGGTTTACGCACGTAAATCTGAAAAATATTAAACGAGGGAGACGAAAAGGCAAAAGAGCGAATTCACGTGCAATTAAGTCCGCATTCATAAGCACTAATCATGAAAATTCGCGTCCCCGCCTTCTCTCTCTCTCTCTCTCTCTCTCTCTCTCTATTCTATCCGGCTGGAAACATTCAAGCTACAATTAAGAGAAACACATTTCGAAAGCAGCGCGAGATCAAAGCAAAAATTGCTTGAGACGAAATGTAACTAACAGTCGAAATACGAGAGAGAGAGAGAGAGAGAGAGAGAACGGTGAAGGGAGAGAATTCCGTCATGGTGCATAAAGCGCTAAGCTGTTTTTCCGAAATTGCGCTCATCCGACGTCTCTCTCTCTCTCTCTCTCTCTCTCTCTGTCTCTCTCCCCTTTTTAGAGCCGCACGTAATTTCGCGAGACGCGCCGTGTCGTCTCTCGCGGATAAAAGTGAGCCAATTTGAATGAAGAGAAACGTCGTAAAAGCAGACCGATCTGGACGAATCGTAAACGTGCAGTAGCAGCGTCGTCCTTCTGTCACGCTGTAATGCCACCCCCATCCTCCCTTCTTTGCCTTCGACCGACTTTGTTACGATACGAATGCCATGTCAAGATAACTTACGAGAACCTCAGCTTCACTGTAAAACTACTCGTCATTTGTCCGCCCTTCATCTCATAGTACGCGCTGCCGCTCCGTCTATCCTTGGCAAATTCTACGCTGATATTGCCAGTTAAAGCCGAACGTTATATTTTTGAGGGAAAAAAATTCGATTACCAAGGGCAACTACTTTTACATTTTTTTTTCCTTTTCGTTCAGAAGAAAAATAAAACCAGCTCTGTGTCTTTTTTCATAATCTTTTAAAAGAATTTTCACGTGAAAATATTTGCCGCGATAAAACGTTGGCTAGCCTAGAAAAAAGAAAAATAGCGCGCGCGACCGCTGTTTACTTAAACTCAAACAAGACCTCTTGCCGTTGCACTTTCCCTGGTAAATTCCTAATTGACAATATAATGGTTTTCGCGATTGCCGAGTCGCGGAGAGGGAGAAAAAAAAGCGAGCAAAGAGAAAGCAGCTCGTAAGTGCGTGCTGGTGTGGTTGCCAGAGAAAAAGGTGGCGAAGCGAAGTCGAGTGTGTGACTTGGTTGTACGTGCGGCATTAACCACTTTCTCGCGCGCGCACCGGTAGAAAAAAAATAAAGAGGTCGAGAGAGGAAAAAAAGGACGAGGAAAAAAGAAGCGCGAGAGAAAAGGAAGGAGAGCTTTTGAGTTCAAAGCACATACTCCTTTCGCCTGGTGATCTAGCCCTCCATTTTTTTCTTTTCTTCCCTTCGCGCGAGAAGTAGCTGCGTTAGACCCTTTTGTTTTCACACCGTGGTGGTTTTTCACTGTAATTGATTCTTAAGTTGTCGTGCACGTTAACCGACTTTGTCATGACTTTTACGATTGGACTTGCGAGTAATGGCTTTTCTCTCTTTCAGTGCTTATTTTTGAAAATCATTTGAACGAAGCAAATAAGCTCGACAGTTTTTCTTTTTTTTTTAATTACAAGCAGATAGTCGGATGGTTTCGCCGTATGACGAATCCGATATATAATGAAATGCATTGCGAAATGAGCCGCTGCACACTACGGCCGATTTAAAGTGGGAACCGGATTAAGCAAATTGAAAAACGCGCGGCAATTAAGCATACATCGCGCTGGCAATTACCGCAGGCAAGTGGAGAGAGCATTAAATCGACCGCAGGATCTAATTATTCCAGCTTCGCAATCCGCCAAATCTCTACGTTAATTTTACGAGCAGCACGTGCTGCTGTTTCGAAGAATTCGTACGATGTGGTTTTCAGCCCTTTAAAAAGAAAATCTGTAATTGATCGTTTCCCTTATTTCGTTGAATTTACCAGGAAGAAAAGCATTCTAGAATAGCAACATCAAGCTCGCGTAACAGCTTGTCCTCGATCCTACTTTATCGCTGCGCGATCAAAGCCTACGATTTAATTTTGCCAAGGCTGGAGAGGGGTTATTGGTCCGAATTTTACGAGGCGCTAATTAATTAGTCTGACAAACGGGTGGGACGCGGAACGACTTGCAAGCTGTCGGTGATTAATTCGAGAATTCCATTGGCGCGCGCACGTGGACGAC